CGAGAACGAAAAAATTTGCTACCAGTTAAGAAAAAAAAAAGCAAAAAAAAAAAATTTATCGAAGAAAATATAATTTTTTTTTTTTTTTTTTTTTTGCTACGACGTTTTTGCTGGAGGAAATTTTTTTTTTTTTTAGTTTGCTACTATCATATAGACTGCTGTCAAGTATAACGTTTTTGTCGAGTTTCTCTCTCTCTCCTCCCCCCTCTCTCTTTCTCTCTCTTGCACGCTCGCATAACTTCTTTTTTTCGATGCATTTTTTTTTTTTTTGCGCGCGCCATTTTCTTTCATTTTTTCCCGGGGGCAATTTTTCTTTTTTCTCTCCCTCTTTCTCTTTCTCTCCCTCTCTCTCTTTTTTATTGCGTGGTAGCAAAAAAAAATTTTTTTTTAAAAGAAAACCTTAAGCTACTCCTTTCTTGCTTCCTTTTTTTTTATAGTTTTTTTTTTTTACCTTGTTTTTTGCGAAAATTCAAAAAAGAAAAAAAAAATTTATAATTCATTATATATACACTTTATGCACTAAACTTTGCTAAGAAAAAAAATTAGATTACGTGAGTGGCATAATAAAAAATAATAATGATAATGATAATAATAATAATAATAATAATAATAATAATAATAATAATAATAATAATAATAATAATAATAATAATAATAATTTATTATCGTTAAATCTGATGATGTGTATATATATTTAAAAATATTTTTTTTTTTTTTTTTTTTTTTTTTTTACGACAGGTGTTAAGAGTTGTAAATAAGTTTTTCTTCTTCTTCTTCTTCTTCTTTTAACGTACCTGTTTTTTTTTTCCTGAAGATCATGTGGTTAAAATAATAAAAGATAAAAAATGTGGGGAGCGAGAGAAAGAGAGAGATAGAGAGAAAGAGCGAGAAAAAAAATTGGGGAGAAATTTTATTTATATTTACAACGTCGAAAAAATTCATTAAAAATTAATAACGTTAAAAGTGGTAGCAGTAAAGAAGACATGATGCACGTACATATGCAAAAAAAAAATGACGTGTCATTAGTTTAAAACCCCTCCGGTATAAATTTAAAAGAGAAGGAAAGGAAGGAAAAAAAGCAAAGCTTCTGCTTGTACTTGTCGTGGTATTAAGTCGAAAAAAAAAAAAAATGTTGCGGTTAGCAATTATTATTTGAGTGGGTGGTGGTAGTGGTTTGATTGGTGACTCCATTTTGAAATTTTCAAGGTCACGCCGAAGAATAAATTTTTTTTTTTTATAAACCGCGCGACAGGATAAAGAGAAAGAGAAATACATTTTCAGGTTTTGATTTTATTATAAATTACACATTTACGTCATTGAATAACGTGTGGTGGGGTGGGAGGAAGGAAGGGATTTGATACGTCACGACTTTGTTGTTTTTTCCCTCTCCCCCCTCCCACAAAGGGAAACAACGTTTAGATTTAAATTTCATTGCGTGACGTCAAAAAAAAAAGTAAAGATAAATGCAAAAAAAAAAGGGAAAAGTGAATGTTAAACTATAAAAATGACCGGATAGTGTGTAAGGGAAACCTTTCACCTCCCCATTTTAATCCTCGTATCAAAGCTTTTCCCTCCCTCCCTCTCCTTTCTCTCTCTCTCTCTCTCTCTCCATTTAATTTATTACTTTAGATCGTATTTGATATTTTATTTTTTTTTTTTTACTTTTCTCTCTCATTTTTTTTTTTCGAATGCATAAACTATAAAATATTTTATCGTCTTCCATTTTTTTTTTTTTATTTTGTGAATTCGTTTGCAATATTTTTTCACGGTGAAAGATTTTTCCCGCCCCCCTTCTCCCGCCTTCCTCCTATAAATTGAAAATAATTAGAAATGAGGAGAGGGTGGGGGTGACGGGCGGTGTCGGTTTTGACGGAAAGCGACGATAGTGTAAAAAATTTTGAATCAATTTTTTTTTGTTTTTATCAAATTTTCACTCGCGTTTTCATTCGCCAAAAAAAAAAAAAAACAAAATGGACGAAACAAAAATGAAACCCGCCATCATCATCATCATCATCATTATTATCATTATCATTGTAAAAATTTTTCATTTTTATTACTTTGCAGTCGAACGATTTTTTGCGTTGTGTGTGTGTGTGTGTGTGTGTGTGTGTGTGTGTGTGTGTGTGAGAAACCCTGCATTGAAGCTTTTATGCAATTTAATCAGAAAACTCAAAAAAATAATAATGATGATGATGATGATGATTACGAAACGTTAAAAATTTCATTTAAAAACCTTCGGGGAAGGGAGGGAGGGAAATGGGAAATTAGGTTCGATGATTTTTTTGTTTTATTTTGTTTTTTAAATTATTTTAATTAATTTTTTTTTTGTACAATCGAAATATTGATAAAACCTAAATTATTTTTAGGTACCCATTATTATTATTATTATCATTATTATTGACTTAGCTCAAAAAGGCAAGAGAACATGTTATTAGGTTTGCGAGGTTGTGGTTAAATAAGGTACGAAGGCAAACGAGAAACTGTGACGCATTAAAAAAAAAAAAATTCAAAATGGCGGCGACGGTAAAAAATTGTAATAATGATAATAATGATGATGATGATGATATTTTACACGGAGTGTTGTTGTTGCAATACGAATGCAATTTGAAAAACTCATGCCGTGAGCATTATTAAATTTTGTAAAATGCGCGGCAGTAAACAAAAGCAAAAAAAAAAACCGGGGGGGAGGGTTTACCTGGGTAAATTTTCCCGGGGATCACAACATTAAATCGAATAACATCCGGTTTAAATGTGATAAACCTAATGAACGTACCTTAATTTTTGTTTTTGTTTGTTCTTAATAATTAAAAATTTTTCTTTTTCTTCTTGTTCTTCTTGTTTACCTAATTAAAACGTTATTATGACGTTTGATAACGATAATATTTTAATTTATTATTATTATTATTATTATTACACCCCTCTCTCTCTTCAAATTTAAATTTTTAACGGTTTTTTTTTTATTCCTTTTCCATTTTGCAAAATCAACGGTAGCTTTTCTCTCTCTCACGAATAAGGAAAAAAAAAAAATGAAATGAAATGAAATCGTGAAATGCTTGAGGGGATTTTCTTTTTTTTTAAATTTTAAATTCACGACGTTTTTTTTATTAATGCAAAACGATAACGGTTTTTTTTTTGTAAATCTATACGCATTAATATTTAAGGGAAGGGAGCAAGGGGGAAGAGGGGGCTGGACAAAAAAAAATTCGCTGGAATTCTTAACGTTTTTTTTTTTCCTCGATTTGTTTTTAATGTTTTACAAAAAAAAAAAAAAAACAGGGAGCATGGAAAAAGAAGAAGTAATTTATCCATTTAAACTTTTAATTGCTTTTTTAACTTATTAAAAACTCTTATTGAATTCCACTTTCTCTCTCTCTCTCTCTCTCTCTCTCTCTCTCTCTCTCTCTCCAAACGTGTCGTTTATGTTTCTTTTCATACATATATATAGAATCGGTTTTGTTGTAAGAGTAGAAAATATCCTTTAATATATTATTATTATTATTATTTTATTTTTAAACGCGACAAGATTTTATATTTTTAAGCACTCATTCCAGGTTTCCATTCGATTCCTTAGAAATAAATGCTCTTATTATTATTATTATTATTATTAATATTAATTCGCAAAGGATTTATTTATTTATTTTTATGAATTAAAATGCAATAAATACGAAAATATAAATATAATCGTGTAATGCGGTGGAAAAAAAAGGAAAAAAGATTTTCTTCCCCATTGTTGTAAACGTTCATAATTAATTTCTAATTATTATTTATGAATTTTAATCCACCGACTGTGTTTTTATTATTATTATTATTATTATTTAAATTACAACGCCGCGACACATAAATTATTTTTTTTTTTTAAATAAAAAAAAAATATATATGTGTGTGTGTTTGTAAGTACATGCAAAAAAAAATGGCAATAAATTTTTTTTTAAAAAAAAAAAAAAGTAAAAAAACGTTTTAATTATTTAAAAAAAAAAAAAAAATTATCTGAGCATTAAAACGTAACATTTTTTTTTTTATATTTACGTAACGGCCATTTTGTTTTAAATAATAATGATAATAAAAATAATAAATAAATTTTTTTTTATAAGTTTACGAACAAAAAAATGAAGTAGGAAAGGAAAGCGCCTTAAAAATGATGTTTATACTATTTGTAAGGCAAAACGTAAGGGATAAGGGAGGAAAACGCTTTAAATTTAATGTTTATACTATTTCAAAAAGATGAAAACAAATAACAAGAAGTTAAAAAAGTTAAAAGTTTTTAGTTTTTTTTTTTTTTTTTTCGGGAGTAAAATTGATTAAATTTTGTTTTTTTTTTTTTTAGTTTTTAGTAAGTATAAAACATTTAGAAAATGTCAAAATTACCTGTTAGTCAGAGCCGTTAGTAGTAAATCATTATTGGGGTAAAATTTTCATTCGATTGATGGATTCTCTATTTGATAAAGTTTTTGTTTATCTTATTCTCGAGTTTGTCTTTTTTCCCCTTTTTCCCTTCCTTTCTCCTTCCTTCCCTTCCCTTTTTCCTCTTCTCCCCCGACCCCCATTCGGTTTTTCCTCTTTTTATAAACTTTGTGGGTAAATAAATAAAATATAACTTTTAGAGAATTTATATATTTATATATTTTACTTGTATAAATTTATATATTTTAAAACACATTTTGTATTTTAAATTAATGTTTAAATTTTCTTTCCCCCCCCCCCCCGTTAGCATTTCATTTTGTAAATTAAATGTTGATTTATAAAATTTTAAATTTTTTTTATAATTTTATTTTACAGGTTTTGCCGTGATTAATGGAGAAGAAGGAAAAGACACGAGAGAAGGTGAAACGGTTTCTTTAGAATGTCGATTTCCGCAACAAATCACGACACAAAATCCAACATATTTCTGGTTGAGAGCAAATAAAAATAAACATGACAACGTTGCCATACAATCGACTCCCCTCGAAAGCAATTACAGAATCGATTTCCGTCCCGAACAGGGAAGATACGATTTGACTATAATGAACACGAGTTACGAAAGAGATAATGGAATATTCGAGTGCAGGGTGAAAGCTTCGGGTACGGGGAGGGAACTTCATTCTCAATCGTATAGTCTTACCGTGTTGACACCACCCGAACCCCCGAAAATATCACCGGGAGAAAATCCCGTGACGACGGAAGGTAAAAAAATGGAATTGGTTTGTTCGTCTGTGGGCGGAAGTCCCGAACCTTACATCAAATGGTACAGAGAGGGAAACGTTCATCCTTTGGAGTCTGTCGTTAAAAAAGCTAACGGAAAAGAAGATGTCACTCGTGCCGTACTAGAATTGACTCCAACGAAAGAAGATGACGGTGCCGTTTTTAAATGCGTCGTTTGGAATAGAGCCATGGGAGATGAGAGTAAAATGGAAGCGTCTGTGACACTCAGCGTCAATTGTAAGTTTTAATTTTAGGCCCTTATTTAATCTTTAATTTAACCCCCCTCCCCACTCCCCTAACATCCCTCTCCCTTATAATTTTAAAAAAAAAAATGATAAAATTGAAAGATTTTCATCTTTTTTTTTTTTTCCTTTGAATTTTCTTCTTCTTATTTTCCGTCATAGAATTACTGTCACTCTTTTACTCGAAATGAAATTAGCGTAGCGCAACCCAAAACATTTAAGAAAAAGGAAAAAAGGAAAAGGGGAAAAAAGAAAATTGAATTTCTCATTTCTTCTCCACACGCATAAAATTTATCTTTACCTTTTTTTTTTTCTTTTTATTTGAAAAAAAAAAAATTCCTTCTTTTTCTTTTTCCTGTCTTCTGCTCTAACTCTCCCCTCCCTTGGAAAGGAAAGCCAAAGGAGGATTAATCAAGACTAAAAACTCGATTTTTTTTTTTTTTTTTTTTTTTTTTACGTCTAAGAAGAAATTTTCTAAAATGTTAAATGTACGTATGTGTGGATGGGGGATGAAGGGAGAAAGGGGGAACGAAAGGAGGAGGGGGATGTAAGTAGACGGAGAGAGAGACAGAGAGAGAGAAAACATTTTAAGAGAAATGTAAAATCTTTACGTTAAAATTCAAAAGGTTAAAAAAAAAAAAAGTAAATAAGGAATGATTATGATAGAAGAAAATTCGTTTCAACGAAATGAAAAATTATTTAAAAACTTTTTTTTTTGATGTGTATTATTATCATTATCAGTATCATTATTATTATTATTATTATTATTATTATTATTATTATTTTCAATTTAATACTTTAATTCGAATCAACAGAATGAAAAACCGACTTTTACGTTGTAAATTCGTCTGATTCTCATATTATTTTCCTTTTATTTTCCTTTTTTTCTCCTTTGATAAAAATTTTCTTACTGAGATTTTTTTCTTTTTTATCGCGAGAGTGATAACGATGACGTAATGATAAGGGAAAATCCGTTTCCGGAAAAATTTTTTTAAAACAAATATGTCGGATTTCGTAGGTTGTTTGTAAAAATTATTACAAACTATTATTATTATTATGAGTCGATTCGTTTTTTATTATTTGACTCGTTAGAATTTACGAGAGAGGGGAGGAGGAAGAGGGGGGGTAATGGGGGAAAGGGGATGAAAAATGCACGTAAATTATACGTCGGATAAATTTGCGTCAAATAATTTAAGGCAAATTATTATTATTATTATTATTCACGAACGTTTAAATTAAATTGTTATTACTAAAAAAAAAATAATTTATATCGATGTTGTTGTTGTTTTATATCTCCTGTTACTGCTTCTGCTGCTGCTGGTGTTCCTTGTTGTCTGCTACATTTTTATTAGATGTGGGGTGGGAGGGAGGTAGAGGGGGGAGGAGGGTTTAAGACGCGGGAACGTTTAGGGACTTCGTCGTTGTTGGAATTTAAAAAAAAAATAAACAAACGAAATTTTATTGGTTTTTATCTTTTCGTTATTATTATTATTATTATCGGTAGGGGAAATTCGGTAATCGGTCGTTGAACTCGTCGAAGTGATTTGAATGCTAACACATTTACCCACTTACTTACACATATATAAAACGTAAAATAATAATAATAATAAGAATGGCGATGATGATGATAAAATCGTATATATATTTCTTATTTACTTTTTTCCCAGTTTTTTTCTTCTCCTTCTCCATCTTTTTTTTTGTCTTTTTTTTAAATAAAAAAAGAAAGAAAATATAAAACTTATTTAAATTTAATACAATAACAAAACAAAAACAAAACAACAACAACAGACAACAAGACAAAAAAAATAAAATGAAAGGAAAAAAGAAGAAAAGGGGAAAGAAACTCCAGATCGGAATTCTATTTTATTTGCTTTGGTAATAAAAAAAAAAAAAAAAAAAGAAAAAGAAACAGAAAAAAAAAGAAGGAGAAGAAGAAGAATAAAAAAAAAAAAAGAAATGAAATAAAAACTCCAGAAGAAAAAGAAGAAGAAGAAAAAAATAAAATAAAATAAATAAGAATAAAAATTCTATTTTTTCACCATTTTCGTTCGTTTTTCAACCTTTTTCTTTTTTTTTATTGCTCGCCCTCGAATCCCCCTTTTGCCCCCCCACTCCCTCACTCTCTCTCTCTTTTGTTTTACATCCTCCTCCGTTTATTTTATTTTTTTTTTTGTTTTATTTCTATTAATCGTTTTATTTTTTATTTATATATTTATTTGGGTAATTAAATTCCTTATTTTTTTTTTTATATTTTTTCGAATAAAATTTTTTTTTTTATTGGTGGGAGGTGGAAAGGAGTGACGGGTGGGAGGAGGATGAGTGTAGGGAAGAGGATAGGGAGGAACGGATGGGAAAAAAAAACATTAAATTTTACGGGGAGGAAGGGGGAAAAAAGGATGAAGAAGAAGAAAAAAAAAGCCACACGTTTAATACATAACGTATTCATTACACACACAAAAACAAAAAGTGTCCCCCTTTTCTCCTCTCTTCCCTCCCCTCTCCTCCTCTCCTTCCCCAGGAAAAAAACCCGATATTATACGACAAATTTTTTATAATTTTTTTCAAAGGAAAATTTTAATAAAAAAAAAAAATCCTTTGTAAAAGGTTGTCAAATATTTTTTACGTATTCCTTTGAGGTCCAAAAACGGGAGGTGAGGGGGAAGAAAAAAAAACAATTTCGTGTCAATATCAAAAAAACCATGTTGTTATTATTATTATTATTATTCATTTTATTCATGGCCGCAAATGCGTACTTTAATAAATTTTAAACATTCCAACAACCGCCACCACCGTTATTACTAATAATAATAATAATAATTTTAATTTTTTTAAGTGTTGCGAGTAATGTTGAAAAAAAAAAAATTTTTTTTTTTTTTTATTCGGTGGCGTTGAAACGTATCATTATAAAAAAAAAAACAGGAAATTTTTTTTTTTATTTTAAAACTAAAAATTCAAGTTGCACGCATCGTTTTTTGTAAAAAGGAAAAAGTGGGGGGAAGTTTACTGGGGGAGGGAAGGGGAGAGAGAGAAAGGGAGGGAGGGAGAGAAAATTATTTTATTTTATTTTTCTTACGGTTATTATTTTTGATTATTGCTGACAGAATAATTTTTTTTTCTTTTTTTTTCTGTATTTTCTATTCGGAAAAATCGTATCGATTCAATTACGCGGTTCGATAAATAAAAATAAAAAACGGGAAGAGAGGGGAGGAGAAGAGGAGGGGAAAAGGGAAAGGAGGAAAAAAGGGGGGAGGGAAAAACGAAAAACGAAATCTTAAATTCCTTTTTTTTTTTAATTTTCGTATTTTATTTTATTTTTTTTTTTTTAGTTAATTTAAAAATTTCATGAAATTTCTCTCTCTCTCTCTCTCTCTTTTTCTTTTTTTAAACAAGTTTTAGTTAATTTTTAAAGAGTAAATTAAACACACAGGCAACAGCAAAAAAAAAGGAAAGGAAAGGAAAGGAAAGGAAAAGGAAGGAAACGAAATGAAAAAAAAAAAAAAAAAAAAACGTTCAAATCTCAGATTAAAACAAAATGAAAAATTAATGAATTTTCTTTTTTTTTTTTTTTAAATAGCAAAAATTTAAATCGGGAAAATTTACTTAGAAAAAATAATAATGATGATGATAATGATAATAAAGAGATGTTTATAATCTTGGGGAGAGGGGGGAAAGAAAAAGCAGAAGAAAAGCTTAGAAAAAATACTTTTAAAAAAATATTTTATTTTATTTTTTTTCTTGAATCGAATCGGCATTACTTTAAATTATTATTAAGCCTTAATAATAATAATAATAATAATAATTATTATTATTATTATTATATAACCGTAATTAAATTATAGTTTCGTAAACGATCACGTGACAAACGAAATTTAACGCGTGTAAAACTTTTTCTCTCTCTCTCTCTCTTTTTAAAAACCTTGCGTTCATTGTCACATTTTCTTAATTATTTTTCATCACGTGGAAATGTTACTATTATTATTATCATCATTATCATTATTATCATTTTTACTATTATTATTATTATTATTAATGTCATTTGCGAAAATTCTTTCGCGAAAACTTTTTTAAATAATTACTTATTTATTTATTTCTTTATTAAAGTATTTATTAATTAGCAGCGTTTTCGCGTTTTAATAAAATCATTCGAACGTTTTTTTCGTTTTGCCTTTTCCGCGTTTCGATATGTTATTATCATTATCATCATCATCATCACTATCATCATCATTATCATTATCATTATCATTAGTCATCGGAAAATATTTTCATAATTTTTCTGTTCCCTTACGTAATAAAATATTAAATAATCGGATCGTTTTTTGATTCTTTCGTATTTTTTAAATTTTTTTTTCAATCCTTAAATAATACCAAGAGTTATCATTATTATCATCATTATTATCATTATTATTATTATTTAGTTTTATGTACGCGTCGACTCTAAAGTAAAAAAAAAATAAATAAATAAATAAATAAAATTATTATTCTGTCGTGTAGCTAGCGACGTTTTGGTCGGGGAAAAAAAAATAATAATGAAAGGTTTAGTTTACCTTTCGATTTTTTTTATGAGGGGGTTGGAGGGGTAAGAGAGGAAGGAAGGAGAGGCGGGGCACGTGGAAAACGTCCTCCTTTTAACCGTACGTTAAATCGAAGTTAGTTAATATATATATTTAAAATGGAGGAGGATAACGAAAAAAAAAAAAAAACAATAAGTTTTAACGTGGAAGTTTAAAATTTCATCCCCTATTCCATCCCACCCCCCATTTAATTTTTTTTTTGTTGTTTCGAGTATTTATTACCATTGATTTGAAAATGAAAGTTGTTTAGTTTTCCTCCTGTACAAGTCCAAAAGAATGGGGAGGGGGGAGGTTTTATTATATCTTTGCAAACATGATATTGAATTCGAACAAAAAAAAAAAAAAAAGAGACAAAATACGTGAATGCGTGCGTGCGTGTAAGGTAGAGAGAGAGGCAAAAAAATCCTTCCGTTTTATTTTTGTTTGGGGGGAGGGGGGACTCGAGATTGTAAATTGTTGGGGGGACACGGAAATTTTATTCGTATGCGTGCCATTTTATTTTTTTTTTATTTCTTTAAACTTTGATATTTGCCGGTAGGTTTTTTCTTCTTCTCCCTTTTCCTCTTCTTTCCCCCTCCCCGTCACCTTTTCCTTTCCCCCTTTCGATCTTTCCTTTTTTCCTTTTTCTACAACTACAACTTTCAATTTTTTCCAAATTGTTTTTTATTATTTTCTTCCTTTGATTTATTTTTTTATGCATACATATATATTTATTTATTTTTTTTTACATTTTCTTTTTCTAGAATTTTCTTTACAAAAAAAAAAGGAAAATTTTAACGATTCCTTTTTGGAAAATATGTGTATATAAATAAATTTTAAAAGAAAATTTCGTTGCGAGGTAAAAGTTGCGATCGAATAAAATACAGAAAAATAATCAATCAATCAATCGCTGAATGATTAAAAACTTTCAGAACTTAGGCGAAGGGGGGGAGAGTTTAGGACGACGTAATAGTAGTAGTAGTGGTGGTGGTGGTGAAAGTATTTAAACTAACATTGACGTTTTAAAAAAGTGTAGATGTTGACAAAAAGAAAAGAACACTTAAAAAGTTCTAGAAAAGAAAAAACAAAAAAAATATATATATATTAAACGTCTCCTTTTATTTTTGTTTAAAAAACAGGGAAAAGTAAAAGGAAAAAAAAAAAACTTGTTACGAACTGACTTTAAAAAGTTATAATTTTATTATTTATATAAAGGTATTACACTTGTCAGTTATCGTAAGGAACAACAACAACAGCAACAACAGCAAAAAATAAATAAAAAATTCACTTTGTAATAAATTGTAGTGAAAGTTTTTAATATAAAAGATTTTCTTTTTTTTTAATCAAAATTTATCACGTGATAATACTACGTCACTCACACTTGCACAATTCGCATTAATTTTATTTTAAATATTTAATAAGAATTATTATCATTATTATTATTATTGCTGTTGTTGGATTGCATAAGAAAAAAAAAAATTGTTAAAACCGTTCGAACGGTGGTGCTTACCCGTTCGTATTTTATTTATCGGTGTGCATAATGTTAATGATAATAATATATATATGAATAATTTATTATGATTCGGTACGGACGGTAATAAATTTTTTTTTTGGGGGGGGAAAGGGAGGGGGAGGGGAAAGGGTAAAATTTATTTTTCGCGGTACCGACAACATAAACAAAGTAATAATAATTCTTTATTTTATTTTTTTTTATTATTTTCATGTTATTTATTTTCATTCTTATCGAACGCCATTGGATTAACGAAACGCAAATTTCTTTCGAAATGTGTGTAAACACGTGTTGTGTGCACGTGTGTGTGCAGGCGAACGCGTTCGTGTTCATGCACACGGATTATTTCAAAACAAAAAGAAAAAATTAAAATTTTTTTTATTACTTTTTTTTTTACGTTCGGTTTGATTTCATAAAAAAATTTTTTTTTTTTTTTTAATTCGTCAGTAAGTAATGAAAACAACAACAACCACAACTCCTTGAAATAATTTTCAACCTTCACATGCGAAGGTTAATAAAGAAAAAAAAAAAAAATGGCTCCAAATGCTCGTGAAATAGTCATTAAAAGTATATTTAGAATAACGTTCGTTATTAAAAAGAATAGTTAAATTTGTAGGACAAGTATCGGGAATTAGGTGGGGGAGGGGAGGAGAGTGGGAAGAAACCGGATGTGGGGAGGGGTAGGTTGATTCGGCGTGAAATTCGTATTGTTGCAAATAATTTTCCAGAAGTTGACTCCAGAAATTGCACATAACGCGAATTTGAAATAATTTATTCGCCATTAGCAATTATACTATTATTATTATTATTATTTTACGAAAATGGCTTCTTTTTTTCCTCCTCCCCCTATTTTCGGGTTCCTCGATAATTTGGCCACTCGAAATTATTTTAGTTGTTGTCCTTATCAAACGTGTCCTTTATCATTTAAAATTTTTTTTTTCTATTTAATGTCTTTATCATTTTATTGCCATTAAATTAATTCCAGGGGTTAATTTTTACTCGTTTTTGAATTTCAGATTTTCCAAGAGTAGAAGTAGGACCAGAAAATCCACTTAGAATAGAAAGAGATGGTACGGCAACGCTCGAATGCAAAGTCGATGCTAAACCCAAAGTGACGAGCGTTCGATGGATGAGAAACGGACGTTTCGTATCGACGTCATTAACGCACACGATACACCGAGTAGGAACGGTTGATTCGGGAAAATACACGTGTTCGGCCGACAACGGTTTGGGACAAACGGGAGAAGCCGAAATCCTTTTGGATGTTTTATATCCGCCACAAGTCACGATAGAAACGGCTCCCGGAATGGCGAGACACAGAGAAGCCGAAGAAGGTGAAACATTAACCGTCAAGTGCAACGTGACGTCGAATCCTCCTCCGTACAACGTCGAATGGCTCAAAGAGGGTCATCCGGATTCCAGACAGACCGGTGACGTTTTGAGATTGTCGTCAATAACGGCGGAAAGTGCTGGAACGTATATTTGCAGAGCCGTTAACATATTGACACCTTACGGGACGCCGAAGCGTAGAACGGAAAGAATGGGTAATGCGACCATGACGCTTTTGGTACGACACAAACCGGGATTGGCACACATTTCACCGGAAAGACCCATAGCAGCAGAAGGTATGCTTGACACCACACCCTACCCCTACCCCCTACCCCCTTCCACATAATTAATTTTATTAAATAATAAAAACTCAATCTTCTTCTTATTCGACGCGTCGAACTTGGTTGATTAAATTTACGTGTGTGAAAATTTCTACGTTTTCATAATTATTAAAAATCTATTCTTAAAATATTACGAAACGTTATTTTCTCTCTCTCTCTCTCTCTCTCTCTTATTAAAAAATTAATTAGGAATTTATTAAAAGTACGTTACCGTACGGTAGTGGCAGTAGTAGTAGTAGTGGTAGTGGTAATAGTATTACGACGTAGACGCATAAATAAATAACAAACTTTTCATATTTTTTTTTTTTGTGTTTTATAGAAGAAAACGTTCAGTTAATAAGATTATCAGTTAATTTATAATCGAAACTTATCGAAAAAGAAAAAGAAAGAAAGAAAAACTATAAAATTATAAATTTTAAAAAACTTTTTAAGCTCTTTAAAAAAAAAAAAAAAATTTTTTTTATTTGTATATATAAATAAATAAATAAATATGTTTTAGAGAGAAAAATAACAAACCGGTTAAGTTGTAAAAAAAAATATTATCATTATTTTTATTATTATTTTGTGTTAAAATGCGACGGGAATAATAAATTTTTGTCGTTAAAAAAAAGATTGGTGGATATATAGATTAGTGATTTATTCCGTTCAGACATTATTAAAAATTATTATTATTTTTTTTGTTTAAACACAGGAACTGGAGTCACATTGACGTGTTCGGCTAATCCTCCCGGTTGGCCGCCACCACAATATCGCTGGTGGAGGGATCTTGACATAGCAAATCCTAGTTCTTCACCTCAAACGGTTTTAGCAACGGGAGCTAAATACACGATACCGTCGGCTCATTTGGGATCAGAGGGAAGATATCATTGTCAGGCGACAAACGAAATGGGACAGGGGATTTCACATTCCGTTATACTTCAAGTGCATCAACCCCCGAGAATAGTGGCAAAACTTCAACCGCACGTCACTAAGAAATCCGGTGATGGGGATTTTTCCGTGCGATGCGGGGCTCAGGGAAAACCCAAGCCGTCGGTTAAATGGTTGAAAGACGGTAAAGAAATTTCATCGCAGCAAGATAATTACGACATATTGAACGACGAATCGGACGGTCGTAATTCAGTTTACACCGTTCAAAGCACTCTCAAGTTCATCGGAAAGGGAAGACCGGAAGGAAATCAATTGGTTGCCGCCGACAGAGGAGTTTATTCTTGCGTTTTCGAAAACGAAGTCAAAAGAGCCGAAAGTAGCATGCATTTAAGAATAGAACGTAAATATCATTATTATCATTATCATCATCATCATCGTAGTCGTTTGATACATTCTAACACCTTTTTGTCTTTTTCAGATGAACCCATCGTACTTCATCAATACAATAAAGTCGCTTACGACCTTCACGAAACGGCTGAAGTTATATGTCGGGTTCAAGCATATCCACGTCCGGAATTTCAATGGTCTCTCGTAGGGAACAGTGCTCCCCTAACGACGAGTTCTGGAGTGGATAGTCACTACGACATAAGCACGACTGCGGAAAACAACGACGTCTACGTCAGCGTACTCAGAATAAGTAATATTCAGGAAAACGATTATGGAGAATACACGTGTAGAATTGCCAACGCACTCGGAAGCCTGAAAAAAGGTAAGCGTCTTAATATTATTATTATTATTATCATCATTATCACGACGTTATATTACGGTTTTTTTTTATATTCTCAATCGATTCGTGTGGGGGTTTTTTTTTTTTTTTCGTATTATTTTATTTTATTTTTTAAAATAATCAATTTGACGTTTTGCCATCGTCAAAATCCTTTAACGATCTTACAATGGTATCGATATATCGGAAAGTCATTTACCAGTCATGATTTTCCTTTCCATAGAGTAAGAAAAAAAAATTTTTTTTTTTAAATGGAGTCGTAAAACCTCTGAATTTTATTTTTATATATATTTTTTTTTTTTTGGAATTTTCTCGAACTTTTTTATTTGAAAATTCTTTAAACCCTTTCCCCCTTCCCCTTCTTCTTCCTCCTCCTTCTCCCTTCCTTTCACCCTTCTCTCTTCTTTTCCTTTTTTCCGATTTTTTTTTATTTAAATAAATTCGACATTTTTCCAAAAAAAAAAAAAAAAAAAATTTTTTTATTCAGGATCGGATCCAGGTTTCTTTTTTTTTTAATTTTAATTTACCCCCCCCCCCAAAAAAAAAAGAGTAAATAAATAATAATAATAATAATCATTTTTTAATTAGAAAATTTTGAGATTTTTTTTTTTTTATTTGAAAAGTAATAAAATTGTTTAATTGTTTCGTTTGTTCCGTGCGTTCCGTTATTGCGTTTGTTGTTTGTTGTATTTTTACATTTTTTTTAATTCGTTTCGACTTTCTGTTTTTTTTTTTTGAACTTTAATTTGACCCCGTAGAAACAATATGGCCGACCGAACGAAGGAATGGAAAAAAAAAATTATTTATTTTATTTATATTTTTTAAAGCTTTTACATAAAAAAAGTTGCGGAACGAATTTATTATTATTATTATTATTATTATTCTCGGGTTAATATTAAAAAACTCGTAAAATGAATTTATTCACTTTTAATCTTTACGTATTTTATTATCATTATTATTATTATTTTTTGCCGGGAAATAAAAATTAAAAAAAAAGAGAAAAAAAATCTTTTGATGTTTGCTTTGCTGCTACCATTCATGCAACGCATGATTCGGATTTGTCGATTACCGGAACCGTAGGGTTCATGACCTAAAAAAAAAATCGTCTCGTCGTGGCATTCTCCTGCCACGTTCATTCACGGGCGTTCACAACCCCAGCGTGTGTGTGTGGGTGCGTGTGTGTATTATTAGAAATTTGAACTTTAATTAAAATTGGGGAGATTTTTTTTTGTTACACACTAGAAAAAAGCATTTTTAATTACTTTTTCTATTTTTTTTCAATCATTTGTATTTGTCGTTTTTCTTCCCTTTCGCTCTCCCCTCCCTTCCCTTCGCTTCCCCTCACTTCCCCCCTTTTTTTTATTACCGCCGACATTTGATTTGTTTCTTTTACTACAGTCTTCAAGGTATCGGCAAACACAAAAACAAAAAAATTATTATTATTTTTTTTTATTTTTTAATAATCGATTTTCTTTCTCCCGGTTAAAAGCTTTTTATTTAAACAAAAAATAAAAAGAGAGGAATTAATAAATCACTAGAGAGAGAATGAAAGAGAGAGAGAGAGAGAGAGAAAGAGAAAGAGGACAGCTTAAAAGCCGGCATAAATTAAATGTTTTCGTTTTGCAAAATAACAAAAACAAAAAAAAACATAACTTAAATATATGTACGCTTATGTTTTTTTTTGTTTTTGTTTATTTATTACGTGTTGAGTTTGGAGTTAATAAACATCAATTAAAACTAAATCAAATCCGTTATGAGATAATAATAATAATAGAAATAATAATAGTAAAGATGTCTGCTGTTGTGTATATTTGTTGCGAGTTGTTTTTTTTGTGAAAAACCGTAAAACGTCCAAAAAGGGAGGAAAAAAACATACGCACACGTACACGTGTACACGCAAGCATATATATGCGTAAAAGGAAAAAATAATAATAATAATAATAACGATAAATCGGGTATTTAGTATATATGTGAGAGAGAGAGAGAGAGAAAACTTATTCTTGAGCGTGTAATAAAGATTTTCAATTTTCCGGTTAATGCTTATCGACAATATTTATGTGGCACGAGCTGGAAAAAAAAAAATTTTTTTTTTTTTCCAGCTTTTTTCTCTTCCTTTCCGGCCTAAACATTTTTTTTCTCTCTCCAGTCCGAAAAGAAAAAAAAAATTAAACGTAAATCATATCGTTTTTTTATTTCTCCAGCGCTGGAAAAAATAAAAAAATTAAAAAAAAAAAAAAATTATTTATTTTTTCGTTGAAATTTTTATATATATATATATATATATATATATATATATATATGAAAGGTGTTCGCGTGCGTGTGCGCGTGTAAATGCACGTGTGGATTTAAATAAAAAATTATTATTATTATTATCATTATCATTGTTATCATATCATAAAATTTTTTTTTCTTTTTAATTAAATGTGATGAATTACTCGGGTGTAATGATTTTATTTGTTGTAAATTAAAATGGGGGTCGAAAAAAAAATAAAAAAAAATGAAAAACCCGAAATGAGAGATGAAAGAGGTTTTTCGAATGAGGAATGTGAGGACGGGATGAAAAAGGAAGGGGGGGGGGGTAAAAGGAATACTTAAACTTAAAAGGAAAAAAGGAAAATTTTAAAAAAAAAAAAAAAAAAAAACATTTTTTCTAGAAATTTTTTTTTTTTCCTTAAAAATTCCAGAAATTTTTTTTTTTTTTTGTATTAATATCAATTCTTAATTTATTTATTACTGAGGAATTTTCACAAAAAACAAAGAATGAATGAATGAATGAATGAATGAATCCTCCCAACAAAAAAAAAAATTGGATATTTTTTTTTTTGCAAATGAAAAATATAACAAGTTTTGTATACGTTCGGGTTTTTTTTTTTTTGCGTAATTATAGCTTTTTTCATTTTTCCCAAAGGAATAAAGAAAAAGAATGGAAGGAGGGGAAAAAAATAATAATAATAATAAAGAAACGAGGAAAAAAAAATTTTTTTTTTTTAATTTATCATTTTAAAGCTTTGTAAGCAAAACTTACCCTTAAAAAAAAAAGAAAAGAAAAATTACGATAATATTTTTTTTTGTTATTTTTTAACGACCGAATATTTTTATGTTTCTATCACATTTTAATTGGGGATCTTTTTTTATTTTTCAAAGGGATTCGATTGCAACCGAAAGGACCTCCAGATTTTCCAACGAAATTAAAAGCCGTTAGAATGGGACATAATTTTGTTACGCTGTCTTGGACTCCCGGATTCGATGGTGGAATTCACAACACGAAATATTTTGTCGCTTATAAAAGAGTCGGAGAAGAAGATAGTAATAATTGTTTTGCTAATAGTGTGACCTATCATAGTAACAAGGGAAGGAACGACGGGTGGCAAGAATACGATTGTCAATCTTACAATCCTTGTAACATAACATCTCTCGAACAACATCACAGTTATAGGTTTAAGGTAGGTTATTGGTTTTACAACTTTGTAGAAAAGGTTTTGGGTGAAGGTTTATGTAAAATTTTGTATCGTGTCATTAGGTGAAAGCTTACAACACGAAAGGAAACTCTAATTATTCCGAAGAAGAATTGGCATCAACGAAAGTAGACAGAATACCAGCTCCGCAAAGAGTGACCTACGATCCTGAATCTCATACTCTATCGATAAATGTCGATGCTACTTGTCTTATGCTTCTCGGTCAAGTGGAAGTCACGAACAGGCCGGATGATTCAGATTGGAGATTTTTGGAAACTCTACCGATTACTTATTCGGGAGGTAATCCGACGATATCCGAAGCGACCATATTTTCAATGGTCGCGAGAGCTAAAACACACGATTACAAAGCTTCGGGAAGAAGTTTGGGCCCGGATAATCCCGACGACGACGGCCTATTATTGGAAGCCAACACTCAACAAACAATCACTCCAAGAGTACGAGTCAAACTGTGTTTGAAAGCGAGTCCCGAGGTTTGCGGGGATTATACGGAAGCCGAAATCGGGCCTTCGATCGTCAAAGAAGCATCAGCCATTGGAAAATCAACGCTCATAGTCATCGTGGTCATTTGCATCATATCAATATTGTTCATCGGTTTGCTTATAATGTTTTGTCGGTGTCGCAAGAATCAAAATAAAAAACAACAAAGCAAGGATTACGAAATGGAAACGAGCGTTCGTCCGAGCATCGTTCAACAACCTCCTCCTCCTTATTATTCTGCGACGGGACTCGAAAATAAAGCTTTGGAACATTCCATGGATCTCGCATTGGACGACACGACGAAAAATGCAATTTACGCTCAGCAAAACGGTTACGGATATCAAAACGGACCGCAAATACCACACAACGGCGGAGATTGGGTAAACATGGGTTACAACGAAAACAGTTACAGCAATTCGAACAACGGAGGTTCCGTCAATTCTCAAGATTCATTATGGCAAATGAAAATGGTTGCGGCAAACAACGCGAACAACGATCAGCATCACATGGACAGACAAGGAACCTACGGTTACGATCCTCTAACTCACGGAGGCTACGGAACGGTTGACGATTATGCATCGTATCCACACCTGACGAGCGAAACACCCGATCATGATTACGGATCAAGAACTAGCAACAATCCCAGCAGAAACGAATACGTGAGCGATCCATACGGTCCCGTGCACAAACCCAAAAAACACCTGACACCACACCTGGAATCCCCGTACAGAGACGTGAGCGGTCTACCGGATCCCTACATGGAAAACATGGATATGGAAGATCCTAAACCTCAACACATGTCTCTATCCTTCGACGAAAGTCTAGAAAGCGGATATTCTACTCCTAATTCACGAAATAGACGAATTATACGTGAGATAATTGTCTGAAAAGAGGAGAATATATCCGAAACTAAGACTTAATGTTGTTCCTAAAGCCGTTTCGGAGTGTTTTCCATTATGTTGCTTTTATGTTTTTTTTTTTTTTTTTAAATGAAAAAGTGCGCATAAGTGAAACATAAAAAAGAGAGAGAATAGAAATTTTATATATAAATAATATATTTTTTAAATAAAATGAATTCTGACCTAGTCTTCATGAATTTAAAAAAAAAAAAAAACATTAATAATAATAATAATAATAATAATAATGATAACAGAAGAAAATAAAAAAAATTTTTATTTAAATTTATTTTTACATAAAAAAAATTAAACTTTTTATATAAAAACTATTTTTAAAAAAATAAATAATTTGTGCCATTTTTATTGAAATCTCTCGTCTGAGAAAAAACAAACAAACATACAAACAATAATGATAATAATAATAATATGAATTTGTATTATTAATTATAAATAAATGTTTGTGCGCGTATGTGCGTGTATGTGTATTTGTGTTTCGTGAAACGGGACCGCGCATTTTTTTTTTTACTGTTGTATTGTAAATAATAATTAATTATTAGTGTAAATAATACAACACAACCAAAAACAACAACAAAAACAAACAAGAAAAAAATTCAAGGAAACAAAAAACATTCAAGTGCGACAAAGAAAAAAAAAAATTTTTTTCGCTATTAAATTTTTCGGTCGATGAAAAAGCTTCGATTCAATTCGTGGAAAAAAATCAAATATCGATCCGCCATTTTTTTTTTCTTTAAATTTCCCGCCAAAACTTGGAATTTTTATAATTGAATAATAGTAATAATATGTTTCGTAATTATTTCCCGCATTTCGTAATCGTTTTTTTTTTTTTTTTTTTTTTTTACGAAATCTTTAATTAATCGCGATTATCATCATCATTATTATTATTATTTATTAATTATATTTTATTTAATTAACGTCAACTTTTTCCCTCTTTTTTTTTTTCTAATTGAATCGAAGCTTAAAAAAAAAAAATTATGACGTCACGACGACGTTATCACGATTTATATGATTCATTAAGAATATCGGGTTTTCATCATTATCATCATCATTATTATTATTATTTTTTTTTTTAAATTTTCGCGCGTTTTAGTTACCCAATTCTTTTTTTTTAAATTATTATTATCAAAAACATAAATTATGTTAATAAGACAAAGAAACAAAACAAAAATTATTTATTTATTTTCAAAAGTTATAATAATAAATCATTCTCCCGTTACGATAATAATGATAATAGTAATAATAATAATAATGATTTTACATTTAAGAAAAAAAATTTTTTTTTTAAGTAGTCCGTTAATTTCTCGCTCGTAATTTTTTTGATTTTTTTTTTCGACCGTGGATTCGATCAAAATTCGATTTATCGATTTTTAATAATAATAATAATAATAATAATAATAATAATAATAATAATAATAATGATGATGATAATGATGATGATGATGATGATGATAATAAACCCAAGACTCGAATCGTCTTATATGAATTTTTAATTGAAAATCGTGAGAACGATAATAAAAATGATGTTTTTAATTTTTTTTTTTTCCCCCCTCGTACCAAGATGATGATGATGATGATGAGATTCATAAGTGATGATAATAATAATAAAATTTACATGGATTGATTATATATATATATATATATGAAAATATATATATTATATAATAAAATGAAAATTGGTCTTGCCGTCCAAGTTAGCCTAGTTATTATTATATACTCTTATCGCGGTCTATATATATATAAAGTTTGTTTGATTGTACGTTTGTTTCAAAAAAATAATAATATCTTGCCTGAAATATGCTTATTATTATTATTATTTTATTACGCGAATGAGTTTTTAATTAAAGTATTATTATTATTATTATTATTATTATTATTAAATAAATTTAAAAGAAAAGTTTTAATATGAAATTAATTGTTTCATGAGTATGTAATTTGTTTGTAATTGTTTTTTTTTACTCTCTCTCTGTCTCTCTCTATTTTGTTTTATCCGATTTTGCTATATTGTTTGTTATTATTATTATTATTAATTAATTTATATATTTTTTTAAAAATGTTTTTTGCCGATTTGAAATGATCTCATTTCTTCTAAATTAATTTTTTTTTAACGGTTTTTTTTTATTGATGAGATGTAATTAAGATATATATATATATAGATAGATAAGTAGATAAATGCATGATGATGATGATGATGATGATGATAATAATAATAATAATATGGTTTCTGTTGTTAATTACAGTCATATCATCACAAAATTTTTTTTTTTTTATATTTGTGTGTAAAAGATACAGAAAAAGAAAAATAGGAAAAAAAAGAAAAAAAATAAAATAAAGCCTTGCGAAAATAATAATTTTTAATATCTTATTATTATTATTATTATTAGTAATAATAATAATAATAATAATGTTAATTTGATTGTAAATAAATTATATATTTAAGAAAGAAAAAAAAAAGAAAAAATAGTAAGAAAAAAATAATGAAAAATAAAAAAATTTTGTAAGTTTTTTTTTTTTTTTTTATGATTATTATTATTGTTGTTGTAAATGTGTGATGATGATAAATTCAATATGTCGGAAAAAATTAATTTAATTTAATTTTTTTTTATACTCTTTGTGTAAATTTTTTCCGCCATTTTGAATTTAAAGTGAGAAAAAGATAATTTTTTATTTTTTTTTTTAATATTACTTTTATTTTATTATTATTATTAATTTTTTTTTTTGTAAATGTTTCTTTTTTTTAAAAAAAAATTTGGAATGATTGATTGTTTTTGTAAAATAAAAAATGAATGTAATAAATAAAATGGTAATTTGACATAAAAAAAAAAAAAAAAATTATTTTTAAATTAATTTTCGTTAAATAATTTTCCATAGAGTAAAATATCGATCGAAATTTTAAGGGTTGCGTCATTATTAATAAATTCAGATGAGTTATTATGGAAAAAAAGAAGAAATAATATTTTTCATTCATTTAAAAAAGGAATTCGAATGGTCAAAATGGATTTAATAATTATTAAAGGTTTTCTTTTTTTTGAAATAAGATAGTATCATTTTTATTTTAATGTTTTATGATACATTTTTCAGAATTTTCCATCGATGAAATAAAAAATATATAATTCGTGCATCACCGCCATGTCGAAGCGATGACGTCACGTCGCCATCTTTAAATTGTCATCTATGATCTGTTTAAAATTCAACTTTGTTCGTGCAATTACAACAAAATCTTAAGTTAAATTTCGTTTTTTTTTTTTTTTTTTTAAATTAATTTTTTTTTATTATCGGGATAAATTTTTTTTAATAAAATTTTTTTTTTATTTAAATTATTCAATCAAAATTATTATTATAAGATTTTGATGATTTTTATTTATTTATAAAATCGTTAAAAAAATTAATAGTGCATTTTTAAATTGAATTTAGTTTTCAATCGGTCGAGTTGCCTGTCGTTTTTTGGCGCGTAAAATGACTGACTCCTCTGATTTAAATAATATTGAGAAGGAAGATGAATCTGTTGTTACTATGGTAGATGTTTTACAAGAAGAAAATGAACTCGAGGAAGATGCTAATGCTGTTCTTGGAGGAGCCGATGATAAAATTTGTACTTATTCTAAGGTATTTAAAAACAATCGATAATTATCATATAACGTTTGTTAATTTTTATTAACTGGTTTATAATGAAAATAATTTTAATTACATTTTTCAAAAATTTTTTATTTTTTTTCAAAGCAAAACAAACTTTGGAAAATAATTTAATTTTGATTTGAATTTCAGGGTTATATTTTTAGACAACCCCTTTATGCATGTGCTACTTGTAACTCAAGTGGAAATGGAAAACTTGGAGGTATTTGTTTAGCTTGCAGCTACAGATGCCATGAAGGACATGAACTCATCGAACTTTACACTAAAAGAAATTTTAGGTGTGATTGTGGAAACTCTTGTTTTCCAAACACAAAATGCAATTTAGAAATAGTAAGTCAAATACATGTAAAAGCATCAACATTAGGACCTTGATAATTTGTTTTTTTATTCACCTTTTAAAAATTATTTTATTTGAAATTCAGGGTAAAGATGATTTCAATGTCAATAACAGTTACAATCAAAATTTCACAGGCATTTATTGCAATTGTAAAAGACCTTATCCAGATCCAGATGATACAATCGATGATGAAATGATTCAATGTGTTATTTGTGAGGATTGGTTTCATAAAAGGGTAAGTTGTGTGCCTGAATTAAAACCTTAAACAGTTAATTTTGAATTATTAAATCGATAAGATTATTCAGAAACACTGACCGATTTATTTAATCGATTTATAAAATCATTTATGCATGTTATTATAAGGAAAAGAATTTTTATTTTTTATATAATATTTCTTGTAAATTGTGAGTAAAAACAAAAATTAATTTTAAATTGATATTTTAAGCATTTAAACAACAACTCTATACCTAGTGATTATGGAGAAATGATTTGCTACGAATGCATGGAAAATCATTTATTCCTTTGGAAGTATAGTGATCTTCATTTAAAAGCCAAATCATCACTGGATGATTCATCAAATCAAAAGATTAATAATAGTAGTATTAAAAATAACATTGATGAATCACAGGAAAACAAAAATGAAAAAGAATCAGATGTAAATTCAATTTTAAACTGTAAAATAAAAACAGTTAAGACTGAAAATGGAAGCGGTTCAACATTTTGGCCAGACGGCTGGAGAAAAAGTTTATGTAAATGTGATGAATGTTTAAAAATGTATGATAATGAAAAAATATCATTTTTACTCAGTGATACGGATACAGTTCAGTATTATGAAAACAGAAATAAAGCATTAGCAAAAGAATCACAATATGAAAAAGGTTTAAAGGCTTTATCTTCGTTAGACAGAGTAAAACAAGTTGAAGCCATCGAAGGTGAGATTTTTTTAAAATTTAAGTTTATCAATTAAATTTTAAATTTCACTGATGGATTGACAAAATTTTTTTTGTTTTTAAACAGGTTATAATGAAATGAAATCGGAATTAATGGGATATTTGCAAAAATTTGCAGAAAGTAAAAAAGTTGTTAGGGAAGAAGATATTCGTGAATTTTTTAGTCAAATGCAGGCGAGGAAAAAACATAAAGTCGAAGTTCCATATTATTGCCATTAAGTTAATATTTAATTTTTTCTTTTTTCTTTTTCTATATCGAATGAATATTATTATTTTTTATTGCTTAGCAATAAAAAAAAAATTTTGTGTTTAAATTTTTCTTTCTTTTTTTTTTTTTTTTTTTTTTTTTTGAATGAATCGAATCAAATGTTAATATGTAATCTTATTCAATAATTCGCCAAAATGATAATAATAATAATTTGCATGATGGTTTGCCAAAAAAAAAAAATTAATAATTTTGAAATTAAATAATTTATTTGTAAAAAAATTTTTTATTTTCAACATGAGAATATCATGAAAGGCACATCGATATCTTTTCTACCATTTCCAGCATATAAAAAACCCCAATTTTTTGTGTTAGGCACGTGATAAGCCATAAAACCAGGCCAATATAAATTTTTTAAAGTGTAAAGTTTACCCCCTCTTTGTTCTTGTACACTCCAACATCCTGAAAGGAAATATGACATTTGTTTAAATTATAAAATTATATTATTTATGTAAAAAAAAAAAAAAAAAAAAAAATTAACCTTTTGGTATGTCTAAATCGATTGTGTCTAAAAAATCCAATGCATAATTATAATCTTTTCTTGTTAATAAATTTGTATTCCAATTTTGTACTGGTTTTCTATAATGAACATATGATTTTAAATCATCGCTTTCTTCTGGTGATAAACCTGATATAAAAAAATGATTTTTGTTTGTTGTATTGTATTTTTATTTTATTGATAAATATTGATTTTTTTACATTTTCAGTTAAATACCTTCGTAAGCACCATTCATAACAACAAAGCCATCAGATTCTTTTAATAAAACTCCACGAGGAACAACAACAGTTTCGTTATTTATCAATTCAACAGTTGCTGCTAATCTATCTTCTTCTTTCAATTGAAAAACACCAATCTTGTTCTCTTTCTATAATTATTATTATTATTATTATTTATTAATAGTATATGTACGTGCCAGGTGTTGAAATTTATCAATAATGGTATTATTACCAATAATTGATATGGATCACCACCGGCCATGCATATTTCAATTCTTTTTTGTTCGAGTTCGCTTTGGGATAAACCTGGATCGTCATCGACAATTTCGCTTATATAAGCTGGATCTCCATGAAATCGATGAGTGCAAATTTCGGTA